CTTTACAAAATGATGATACATCAGAGTAAAATCGTACTACTCTATTTATCTCTTTGAAAAATCAAGAACTGTTTACTTATGAAAATACTTCATTTACATTATTGATGGTCACTAAGAAATAGATTTTGGTCTGTATATTATCGAGCAACTATAGTTCTCAATATGTAGATTAACCATGTAATGATCATTATTATCTTGTTCATTATCACTTTGTAAGAGTAAAGCTGTTAGCGAGATTTCTATGGCATTACAATTTGAAACATTATTGATCTGTGTACATTGTATATCAGGAGACTCTGCAACATATTGATATATCTTTAATGAAAGATATTATTCGTAATAGGTTACTGTGTGTTTGAAAAAGCGGTTAAAGATAGGTATCTTAAAAATTAATCTTCTTTTATAATAACTTCTTCAAAAGATTAAATTTAGATTTCGATAGCATTTTCTGAACTTTTTAAACTGAAACCTAACAGTCTAGAACTTGAAAAGGTTTTGGTCAGAAAATAAGAAACTTAAAAAGATTCAGTATGGCTTTTTTCTTTTTAGATATTATCGTAATCATCTATAAAATCATTGAACATATTATTGTCTGTTTCATTATTCGATTTAAGATCTGACTCAATGTTCAAGCTGTTTTTATTATTTATTTTAGTGCAGTTTGATTGCTCCAATAGATATCATTCATCCATTCCGTAGTAATTATGCAATATTGATAGGAACACTTTTTCGCTGAGAACTTTCCAATGATTAGTTGTGCTTGGTAAGGTTGATATATTTATCATGTTATTTATAGTTTTTGATTTTGCAGAAATTATACCGTCATATCGAACCGATAATCTTGCCATGCTACCGTTTTTTAAATCCAAACAGATCCAAGCTGACTTTTGTTATAGGCTAGACAACTTTATACAATGATAAAAAAACATCGGGAAAAAGCTTGTCGTCGAGGCTATATGAGACTTACACAGTCAAATTTTTTAGGAGCTATTTATGACTTTATAAAATGACTTATATAATATGGAACAGATTCACTCAGAAAATTTTGTCTTCAATTGGACACCATTATTGTTGAGTTAGAAGCACGTATTGAAACTTTGACAGTTCAACACTGAATATATCAAGATTTAGTATGCTTATTTAAATTAATTTTGTATGAAGCTTCTAAAACTCAATTGTTAGCATTTGAAATTGTTCTGTACCAAAAGTCAGGTAATGTTGACTTTTAACGACTCTTCGATCGCTTTCAAAACAAAGATACGACATTACTGTCGAGTATTTGAGTCTTTTTCAAAATATATCGAATGATAGAGAAATAAAAACTGAATAAAATGAACTATTGAGAAATTTTATACAATTACGTTTATTTTACTTTCGTTTTAATCGAATATCATCTTTCTCCTCTATACAAGGATGAAAACCAGCTCAAAAATATATTTAATTTCACAACTAATCAATTTCAGATAATTTTTCAAAGCTTTTGTATATCCACCTTAATCACGATGTAAAAGGCCAAGATTATTATATATGAGTGAAGTTGTATTATAATATAATGATGATTCTTCTGTTAGTATCATGGAAACAAAGATTTTTGCTTTTCCATATTGGCCAGTTTTCCAGAGAAAAGTCCGATGACATTAATAGTGATTTATGAAAGCCTTCTTCACGTACAAGTTGTAATTAAACATGTCCTATATTATCGTATTGTTCAATCAATGCAATTAAGAAAATAGTGCCTGGTGAATAAAAGAACTTCATTCTCATCTTTAATAAAACTTGCATGAACAATATTTGCAAATGGATTTGTAGATTTCATTAATGTTCGATCTATTTCAATTTCAAAAAATACAGACTCAACAAATAAACATTGTTCATTATTTCCAGTAAACATAAGAGCGATTTGAGAATTAATTGTTGTATCAAAAGAAAAGGTATTAATTGAAACCATTTTAGCAATATTTTCTTTGAATTTTTGTAGTGCTGCCTTGCTTATACCTTCTTCTCGATAAAAAGTTAAGAGAGTACGATCTATTGATATTAAATCAATATAATTTAAATGTAGTTTTTCTAAATGATTATGAATATCAGTAAGACAAAATCTCAACTTGAAAATATTGTTGTCATATTTTGAAATCGAAATGCTTTATTTAATTGACGATAAAGAAAACAATCTCTAAGATACCATAATAATGCATCATTGGCTTGATAGTTTTGATGAAAATCTTCAATTATTTATTGCTTCTGCTCATTATCGATAAATTCAATTTGACATTCAGTTAATAAATCTTCTTATTGCTTTATTTGATTGAGGCATACAAATGATTGTTTCAAGTAGTTATGGAAACCAAACAAACGTTGCACCTTCTTTATCTAAATTATGAATAGATTTCTGTGATGATATTGGGCAATCTTCTTTTAATTTTGTCAGAACAGACTCACTATTAGCCGATACACCACTAATTTTTGAGTAAGATTTGGTTAATGAAACATCATCTGATGTATTATTGCAAGATATATAAAATATATTCAACTTGTAAATAATCGTGAACATGAGGAATAATGGTAGTGGACCATGTATCAGATGTAATTATAAATATTTTTCCTGTTTTTATAGAATTTATATATCCAATACACTTATCTACATTATTAAATTGTTTTATAAAGTTAATAATATAACGTAAACGACATTTAGTTTCACTTTGTTCGCTCTTGACATCGAGCTAGATAAGTGAAAAACCTTTATGATTGCTTTTGATGCCATTATTTAATGTTTCATCTAGTTTTTTAGGCGTAGATATCTTTTTTTTCTAATAGTATGATTTTTTGATGACTTCAACGTCATGGTAAATTTTTTACACGTATTTTTTTTCTCAAGAACAAGTGTTTACGCATGTATTTTCATTAGGAGTGCAGGGTATGGATCTGCTTTTCACTCCTTCACAGACCAACATCCATATCCTATTGAATCTACTTCGAAACATCTCCGATTCTTCGGTGCTTCTAGACGAATAAGCTCAGTTTCACATAGATATCTTACAAGTTCAAGAAATAATTTAGCATACTCATATGATCAATATATGGTTGATGAAATCCTCAGATGTACTTGAAGTATAACTTAAATCTGATATCAACTTATTCGCTGATTAAGGTTCTTGCATTCTATATATGATTTTGCTGAATTCGATTTCATGACAGATGCTCCTCAGACACTTACTCTTGCGACAGTTGCTCTCCAGTGATAGTTGCTCTCTAATCGTACTTAGCAGAGCTCTACTTGATTGCAAGAGCAAAAGCGTGTTGGTATAAGCTAATCGAAGAGCTCGTTCTATACCAACACTCTCACCTCGCTCATATTCATTATTTAATCCCTATTACGATAATTGTTCTTTAGGCAATACGTTTCGTGAAGAAAGTTGTCTACGAGTACCCTTATAAGATGCATTTTTTGAGACTGTTACAATGTCAACTAAATACAAAATTAATGATTAGTCTTCAATAGAGGATTAAGCTACACAAAACCTTATCATACAAGACGAGGACAGATAGAAACACACGTACAATTATGACAATATCATTTTTAGCATATGCTCGAAGCATGCAACAGTTCTCACTTCACTTAGAATATTATTGTTTTTGATAAAATCACTGAAAATTTCAATAGTACCAACTGATCCATATAAAAACAAACTTAATGTTGTGAATCAAGTAAAACATTCAGCAGTATTTGCAATCCAAATTATATTTTTCTAAGTATTAGAAACTTACTAGATAATCACTAGTTCCCCATTCTCAGTAATCAATCCTTGAGTTGATCTGAATGTTTTAAGATTTATTCATTCAATAATCTAGTTCGCCAGTGATTTAAAATATCAAGCTTCAATTTCTCAGTATCAAAAGAATAGGCATAAAGTCCTCCAACTACAGAATGTTTTATTTGCTTACTTATGTGATAGTGTATCGTAAATGACATTTGAGAACTTAGCAACCTAATATCTGAAAAAGAAGAGATTCATATTGACCTTTTTTAACAAAGCAGAATGTTTTAAGTACAAGAAAACAAATAGAGCAAAGGAGATTATATTCCAATTTTTGAAAGAATGAATAGAAAGGAAAATAGACAGAATGGAAAATCAACCTTCTCTCGACAAGTCAGTTAATGAGAGTCAATCAATGAAGTTATGCAAAAAAACATTTTTAAGTATGACCTTTTGTGAAATCCTGTATATTTTTTGATTCATCGTTTATATGAAAAGTTCATTCATTGTTACCAATCATTTTTATCAAAAACATTCACATCGTTAAATATGTTTGATTCGTTGCCGAAAACGCATTAAAGTGGTGAAAGCTTCGATAACTCTTAGCTCTTAAACATCTTTAGACATAGAAAACATGTTAGAAAAATAATAATCTTAAACTGTTTTAACGTGTTTTTCGTTCCTAATCAATCATGTTTAACGATTTACATATCAAAATGTTAAAACAATGTAAAAAAAAGTCAAGTGGAATAATGAGTTATTTAGTAGTTATATCTTTCTTCTCTATTCTCTATTGACACATTTAACAATGAGAAAAAAATGTTTGGAATTTTTTTTTCTTTGATTAATTTTGCACTTACTGAAATATAGTTTAAAATATGAAGACACTAATCAAACGCAATCATTTAACTTGAAATAAAGTTTTAAACGTTTTTTTTTTCCAAAACTAAAAACACAACTCATTCTAAAAATATTAACTCAATCCAAATTTTTGTGATTCATTGAAACAAGACTGAGTGCAATAAATAAAGAACATCCACTTTTGTGCTTTCAGTCACATGCGTCAAACAAAATATAATATCAGTATGCTTAATCTAACTTCATGAATCACCTATCGCTAAGAAGCTAAAAGAGTGACGTCGTTTGTTATCATCTATTTACTCAGGGAAAGGTAGATAACAGAGAACAGGATCGTATAAATATTTACCATTTTTCAATCTCAGTATATTTAATATTATCAACGTCATGACACATTCCGTTACCATGTATGCTCTCTGCATACTTATTTTCTTATCTATATTGTCAACCATTGAATCAAGTCAATGTTTGAAGAAATGTACATTTCCAAGTATACCATTAAACTCTTCACTTCCGTCTGATTTTTGTTCAATATCAAAGTCAAATGATGATATGAAGCAACAATGTAGAGTTAAATTGACAATTGATTTTACTACAGGCCTTGTCAATGGATCATTTAATCCTGAAAATCGATCGATTTTAACCGACGATGAACTTACAATTGAAACTACTTTTTCATTGAACAATACATCAGTTCAAGTAAATATTCGATATGATTGTTCTGTATCTGATTATTGTGATCTCGATTTTGTACGTGAAGCCTTATCATCAGATTGGTCTGCGATACAAGTACAACCTATTCGTGAAAAACTTGTTTCGCGTCTTTATAATCCAAATAATACTCTTCCTATCAAATGTTTCAATGATAATAGTTCTTGTCTGCCAAATGAATCGCTTTGTTCAATTGCCTATCTTTATCTACAAAGCAGTAACAGTACAATCTTTATAGGTAGATGTCAAAATATAACCAAATCACCAAAAGTTGAATGGGTTCAATTATATCAGCCACGTGGAATAGGAAAAGGTTTGACCGAAGGTATCGTGTATGATTGTAACACTCCAACTTGTGGATATAATACCAGTATTATCGAGACTGTCAAAATGTTATCACATGAATACATCTTGCCTCTTAATTTGTCAGTGATTAATACAACAACAACAACACCTAGGCCAACGACAACGAGTTCTTCAACTGTCACGTCGAAAAGTACATGGACAACAACAACGTCAAATCATGCACCATATCTATTTGTAAATTTCTTCAACACATTAATGATTTCCTTTTTAATAACTAAATATTTTTGAGTATTGTAATAAATTAATCTTTTCGTATGTCATTTGAACTTATAGTGAAAGAAAATGAGAACAATGAGTGAGACGAGCATATGAATAATATATCGTTGTTGGTTTTTAAATCAATGTCAGAAGTGCTTTTATATAAAAGGCTTGGCAGAAGAAGGATATATCAATAGTATTCTGGTGATACTGTTGAATCTCATTATTATTGCTGAGAGAAAAGTTAAGATACTCATTTAGTTCAGTCATGGTATCGTACGTGCATGTAATTGACAAAAATGGTAGAGCGTGATCTAATTGTAGAAGTATGTTTGAATAATAGTGTCTAATTCTCCAATTGCTCACTGTTGGTTTGATGAGATGATAGAGTGTTTCTTAGATGTTAATATGATACAGTCAAGATCACATGAGAGAAACTCTAAAATCAGTTCTAACTTGTGCAAGAGATTTCTCTAAATAGTAAACTGAAATGATTGGGCGAAACACGTATTGATTACTTCCTATATCTGTGATTAATTCAGAGAACGTCATTAATAGATTTACATCAGATATGACTAATAGTCCTCTGATTAACAATTTCTGTTCGACATCATGCATATGTGGCAGCATTTACATGAAAATAGAAAGATGTAAGGCGCCAATACGTCGTACTACTACCAGTGCGATATAGCTAATAGTTCAAAGGATATTAGCTCACATGGTTCAGAAAATCTAGATACCAATGATGATATGAACCTGCTATCATATTTAATGTTCTATTTCACTTTTGAAAAGCATAACATGAACGAAAATGATATGACATTTCTTAGAGATCTACTAAAACAGTATGCGCCTATTTCATTATAACGATTTCACGTTTCTGATTATACAAATCATACAATTTTGTCGTTCATTCAAAGTTTTATCGAACAGGTTATGACAGAAGCTAGCTTTTATTGGTTTTAAGAGAAATAATAAATCAACTATGTTATATTATATATAAGATTGGCATCATTTTGACAGTTTAAAAATAAAGATCATCATCTATTTCAGTACAATTTTCAAACAAATTTCTTCGATTATCCGTAATTTATTTACCAAATAAAAATTTTTAATTTTCTTCTATTGTTAAAAAAAAAAAACAAAAACATGTATTATATTTAGCTTGTCAAAATTCACAAAATGCAATGCAGTAGAAAATAATCATCGATGTTCAAACGAAATAAACTAATCTTCTTTTTTTTCTATATTTGTTTTCTGTTTATCATCGGGTGTTATTGGTAACGTTGATATATCATGTTCATCATCTTCTTCATTGTGTTCAATACTTTCATCATATTCTTCTATCTCATCAGGAATTTCCGTATCATTCATCAATGTTTCATTTGGTAAACAACATAAACAATAACAGACGATCGATACAGCAGAAGCTGGAAGTCCGAGAACAAGCATGGAAATAGCTGGGGCTTCGATAAACATTGCCATAATTGTTCGATAGATTTCCCAAAATGGACGAACTAAACGTTTTGTCCATGCATTACCTGTTTCCCGAATAATTTGTGAATAATTAGAAATAACATAATCAAGAATAGATTCTATTTTAATATTTTGATTAATCATAGATGGTAATGGATAAATACCATATTTACGATGAATACTATCATAGAGAAATAAAAGTGGTCCTTCCAGTGTCCATACAGCTAAAAAAACAATAGAATCGATAAAAAAAAGTATTAACTGGAAGTAGTATTTATTTACCAATATTACTAAGTAAATCAAGGTCATTTGACCATGCAAATTGGAATGTATTGTGAAGTGTTGAAGTGTGCTTAATTACATAACTATGGATTTGAGATTTGAGTTCAATTCTAAAAGGTTATGATATATATAAAATGATTAGCATAAAAAAAACACACTATCAACAAGTATTCTTATAGATATACCAATTTGAACTGAATTGCCTCTTATTTAGTAATATACAAAATATTCTTTATGTTTCAATTTATTTATCTATACTTGATAACACAAGCTTTCAACAAGCGCATGAATTATTGAGATAACATGTACATATATGACTAATCCAAATGTGAAAGCATTTGTCATTGACAATAAATGCTTATTACTAGAGTTCTAAACTGATCGGCTAAGCAGCAATCATCACCACTGGTTTTTTGAAAAAAATTTTAGCCAACGATTAAAGATGTGCAGACTAATGTAAGGATTAGAATATTTTTCTCCATCATGGTACAGCATACGAAAAAAACTTAGCCTGTATATTATTACCATCGTTACTAACGTTTCAGCCGCTGCGATGGAAAAATAGATGATAGATTTTTGAAAGTTTTCGACCTCCAAGATTAGTTTTCAGTAATATTTTTATCTAGCTTCATATCATTAGTGCTAAGAAAAGTTTTCCAAGAGATATTTTCTCATACACATCAACAATAGAGTAATCAATCTCGTTATAATCAATGATTGTACCCTCGTTATCAATAGATTTTCTTGTTTGTCAGATTTTTCTTTTCTAACCTTCTAGCATTTTGATCAGTTAGTTCTGGTTGTTCATTAAATCCATAAATAACAATAATTTTCTTTGTTAAAATTAAATCATATATATTTCCAGCTGAAACTTGTAGAAAAGTAGGAATTTTTTCTTTAAGAATAAATTCTTCTAAACTATTCTTATAATCATCTGGTTTATATAAATAAAATTCTTCTTTTTTAATAGCAAATATTTGTGATTCATCATCGGATTCATATTTTGAAAAAAATGTTTCTTGAATAATTGATACATTTGTTGCATAGAAATAAGCTTGACTTATATATTGATTAATAATCTCATTATATTCTTTTATTAATTGATCATCTTCATTTGTGGTTGTTGTTGTAACAAGTAAAAAGAAAACTTCATGTTCATTACGTATTTCATTAAATTGATCTATTGATGATATCCATCGTAATGATGGTCCATTAACTCGTTTTAAAAAGCTTAAAACAGCTGATTTTGATCGTTCATTTTCATATGGAATTATTTGTGAACCACGAATAAACTTTACTGTTGGATAGCCACGTATATCATAGTAATTAGCAACATCAGAATAAACAGTTGCATCAAGACGTACAATACGAATATTTTTTAAGTCATCAACAGTTGTTGATAAATCATTGACTTCTTTGGCTATTTCTTCATAAACAGGTTCGAAATGTTTACAATGTCCACACCTAAATAAAAATTATAATAGTATGTTTTTATTATATTCATGAATTAGAACTGAATGAAAATTTTTTTCTATGATTAAACAAAAAGAAATGTTTCATAAAAATAAACATCTGTTAAGAAAAACGAACCATGGAGCATGAAATTTTATTAAATAACCAATTGATGGATTTTTTTGAATTTCATCGAGAATTGAAGAATTAGCATCAATTACCCATTTTGCATTAATACCAACTAAATATTGTATAATTAATATTGCATAGCAAATAAAAAACATTTTTTTATATGAAATCTATAAACAAAACAATTTATCAATTCAACTATATGAATTCTTTTTTTAGGATCTCCAGTTACAACTATATAATATATATTCTTCAAATCGATATTGAATTTTTCTTATTTAATTATGTTTGTCTTTCTGTTGTAAATATTGTCACTTTAGCAGTGAAATGATCTACCTAGTAAGTCACTTGCATAAAAACAGATCTTTGTGTTTCGTATTTTTTTAATTAGATGGAAATCAGCTCAAAGAAAGTTAGAACTGTTTGATTAGTTGGAGTGATTTTTATTTATTACTACATATAATAGAAAAGTAGAAAGATGAGGACAATGATGAGATGATACATCAACTCATTTCTTGAAGTCATAACTTCCTTCATATATGATATAATTGGGAATCCCAAGCATACCTTTTTCTTATCTATTGAAACTGTTCTAAAATATTCAATTTCGTAACAAATCTCAGCAGTGTTTATTATTATTATGTTTTTTGTTACAATATTTTTTCTGTTTGTTGAATAATTTCAAAAAAAAAACAAACAAATGAAAATTAATACTTTGTTTGATATTAATTCTGCTTAGTCATATGCATAATACATCTAGAAAACAAACAATTTTTTTTTCCAGTGCAAGAAAATAGCTGTTTTTTTACAGTTTAACAAACAAGTATAGTAGAATAATTCACCACAAAAACAAACAAAATACAAAGATATACACACAAGAAATACGCATCACAGATATTCGTCTGATAGGTTCAATTATTTGATTATGATGCTTAAAATTTTTTATTTCTCGTTGGTAAAATTGAATCTTGTACTGAACGCATAAATGCCAAAAGTCCAAATTTTTTGGCTCGTTTTTTAAAATAATTTGTAACAAGATCACCACCATTATTAAGCATTGTATCATCACTATAACGATCTCGTTGTGGTTCAGAATATTGTGGTAATACATAATCATTAGCTGATAATGATAATACAAAACAAAATGGTATGATCCAAACAAAGATTGTAAAATAAGCAAGAATTTCAGGAAATGGATAATAGTTATCAGTAAAAAATGAAAATGCAAAATAATGATGTATAATTAATAGTAGCATAGAAAAAAGAAATGTTGGTGATAGAAAACCAATAACTGGAAAATCTGCTAAGATAAAAAAATAGATTACATTTGATAGAAGTCCCATAGAGCAAAGTGTCCATGTAAATGGTGATTCAAGTAAAATAAGAAGAATATTAAGACATGTAACAGTAATAAGCAAAGAACGAATAATACGTTTAGCCACTGTTGTATATTCTTCAATAAGTTCAGCAACATAATACATACCAGCTGCAACTGATATAGTTAAACAAATAGCAACAATAATAAATGCTACCCATGACATAGCATACATAAACCACATGATTTAGAGTTTTTTTTTTGTTTTGTTGTATCAGTAGAATAATAATTGAAAATCTAGAAAATAATTGACGTGGCGATATAAACTGAACAGCTTTTTCTGATGATTCGATTTACAATGAAACGACGTTTATCTGATCAACTAACCAATCACATTGAAAAATGAATAGATGACACTAGCATCATAAACAACAAGGAGATCAAATTATTATCGTTATGCTTCAGTAGTTTATATATTTTCGGTTATGACCATTCACAAGGACAAACATATAAATGGAGAAAGAATGTAAGTGAATATTACATAATTATCGATGCTCATATCGGTGAGAGTCCTGCAACTGCAGAAATGATGTTACTTACTCTTGGACACTTACATTAACAATGCTGATGAGGATTTTTAAAATTTTATACTGTTGTATGACAATATTTAAGATTTATAATCGAGACATTCTCTTCGTCAAATGATTAGTTGGATTAAAAAAAAAATGTAAAGATTTATCATACAAAATCTTTGATACGTTTGCAACATTTATCTTTCGTTGTTTATGCCTAACAAACTTCATATTTCACTGTTGATGAGTTGCTACGATTTTGAATACACTAAAGACAGACCAGCAGAAATCTACCTCGGTAATTTATTTGACTCAGAAAAATTTTAAAACGCAATGAATAAAGAAAATAATTCAGACATAGCAAATATCAAGCGCCTTATTGATGAATATAACTTTAGTTAACATCAGATAAAATTACGCTACAAAATACTGCATTGTATAAATCCGTTCATTTATATAGTCAAATCTATACATAAAAAGATATCAAATATTTGTATTCGCAAGATGTTTTTTTTTTTGAATATCGACAAATGAAAAAGTTTGTTAAATATAATTTCATAGAAAAAAAATATCTCATGAAGATTTTTATTAAAGAACATTAATTAATTGATAATAACAAAAAAGATTTATATTGTCGTATGAACCAAATCATGTAAACTTATTGGCATCCATTTTGTTATTTTCAAATTGAAATATAATATTTTGATCAATATAAATCTTAGCATTTTCAAATTAATAAATTTGTTTTCCCTGAAAATGTTCGATTTGGTATTGATAAAAACGATTGATTATGTTTAGTAGCTTCTTTTTCAACACGACCTTTAATTGATGAAATAATAGTTGATGATGATATTTTAATACTACAATTATTAATAGTCTATAATAAATGGTAAACATAATAAACTAAAATTTATAAAACAAAAATCTTTATCATTAACATTTACATATGACTGAGGTGGAGATGCTTGTGGCATTCTTCGTTCAATCATAACTAAACTTTTTCTTAATTTTTCTTTTATTATGGTATGATTAACAACTGTTTCTGGAAGTAATAGACGCCAACCAATATACCATTGTTGAATTTCTGGTTAATATGGATTTGTATTTAATCAAACATTAAGTACCTAAAAAAAAGAATTTTCAAAATAAATTTTTTTCTAACAAACGAAAATTCTAAAGTGATTCACTTCGTTTGCTTCCATATATAAGTGATCATCGACGTAGCATAACTTCCAAAGTTTTTCTGTTCATGTTTAGATTTAGCCGGGATAGACAATTTGCAGTAGGCTGCTTCTGCAGGAGTTTAGTTCTCGAAAAACTTATATACAAATGTCGGACGCTGTTCGATTTATCAGTTATGATCGTTTAAAAAAATTCTCTGAGAGTAAGACATTTCCTAAAAACGTAAAGCAAAGCCGTCTATTTCTCGAAATATTCCATATCCAAAAAAGCAGTGATTTACGACGGAAGAACACAATAACTGGATCAACTTCGAAACCAAATGTCTTGCGCAAGATATATTTATTTTTTTGTGACACAATCAGGATCCTCCTCTAATGACTAGCAAACTTGCCGATAGGTTTGAAGCTCTTTGTCTTAGGTTTTTCGAAAATACTATGCTCTCATTCAAACAGCGGTAACTTTTTACCGGAAGGCCATAGAGTCGAATCTTTTCAAGCTTGCTTTAGTCTCGTCGAGACCTACTCGTAGCCATAATATAAAATCGAATGGCTTCTAACAGTTAGGTACGTTCTCTTATTATAGAAATGCAATATCAAGATAAATGAAACTTAATAAATGATATAGTCTAATTGAGATCTTCATATGAATAAAGTTTCAGTTCAAAAATTCAAAATTTAGTTTATTCAAGAACTCTATTTCTGCACGAGAAATGTAATAAAAAGTTTTTATCTCAAACAAATCTAACCATTACTAGGAAATCTTTCAATTTTATACTACTCTAATGATCTTTTGCATATTAGAAAAACATATGGGTAAAAAATAAAAACAAAACTAAATAAACATACTTGAAACTATTTTGGAAAAAAAGCTTGTTAGTGCAGCTCCAGAGGAGCTGAAATGTGGAACTCACGTATATCTTTGAAACTTGTTATTCTGATGCCTGATTTTTAAACTGCGAAATAACTTTTTTTCGAGTATTTATTAAAGCATTGATATATTATATATAATCGAAAGGGTGGGTGTGGATGTGGATGTGGATGTGGATGCGAATGAAGAGATTGCAACAGTCACACATCCGCACACCCACCCACACCCGCATCCACACACCCACACCCACACCCACACCCCACACCCACACCCTAATTCGTTATCACTAGTCAATTTTCAATCAGTAACACTTTTACAACATTTAACAGGTATAGTTGTGAATTTTTATTTGTTTTCATGAACTACTGGCATTTTTGATTTGTACATTTAAGGTGATACTATACTCCTTCGTCTTATTGATCAAATCGCACATCTTACAGTCGATATTACTGATAAAATAGGTGAAATACCTGGTGGAAATGAATTAAACATGTTTGCATTGATACTATCTATTAGTAAATGTTTAATTGATTTGACATTTACTCGACGCACAGAAATTTCATTTTCTAATCTACCAGCAACAAGTTGTGTGTCTTCAACTCTAACTAAATTGAAAATTACTGTAAATACTTTTGATGATTGTCTTTATCTTCTTGATGGATGTCTTCAACAATTGTCTATATTGATCATTCATATAATTGAAATTAGCGATTCATCATCGAATATAGATAATACAGTAAGTATAAATAATCTATCTTTGAAATTTAATGATTGATTCGTTTTCCTTAGAAAAATCTTCCAAAGTTGAAATGTTTAACACTAACATCGTATTGGTATACATATTTTTATAACAATCGTATTGTTCCATTACTTCATCGAATGTTAAATCTTGAAGAATTAACATTATTTCTTTCGATAATAAGAAATGAATCGACTTATATTGATGGCACTCAATTATACTATGATTTTCTCATTAATATTCCACGACTAAACAAATTTATTTTTAGTATACACACTCATATTATCAACAACCACATTAAAATTGATCTTCTATCGAAGAACGATATTCTCAATAGTTTCATCGAAAGAGGGTATCAACAAGTGGATTCGTACACTGATGAGAAACTCACGTATAATAGAGGCTACTGTCATGTCTATTCACTTCCATATCATTTCAACGATTTTATATTTATGACCAGTGGTTTTCAAGGTGGTTTGTTCAATAAAGTTCGATGGTTGGTAATGTTAGATATGCGTCCATTTGAAAATGAATTATTTCAAGTCATCTCACAATGTTTTCCTTTTCTTCAAAGATTATCCATTACTAATTTGCAATCACAAAAAAATAACCAACATTCGTCTACATTTATTACATTTCCTCATCTGTTCGAACTCGATCTTAAGAGGGCACATATTGACTACGTCGTACAATTTCTCTTTGATAAAAACACTAGTTTACCTCGTGTGACACATCTCACCATTCGATATGAAACATTAGCAATTGTAACACAAGGTTTTACCAATGATGCAGCACGTCTCACTTGTGCTAAAATAAGATGTCTTGTTGTAAAAGAATCATTTGTTCGCCCAGAAAAATTTCTTTCGTATTTTTCTTCATTGTAAATATTAGTGTTGTAAACATTGTTATCAATAAATAGATATACTATAAGAAAGTTGAATATATTGGTCACGATAATTAATTGATTCTTGCAGAAATTATTGATTGTGTTTTATTTTTATTGGCATAACAACTCTCGATAAAGTAAAAATATGCAAATAAAAAAAAACATGAGAATTAAATAATTATCTATATTCTAAATTTGAAAAGTATATTCGACAACATACAATCATTTTGTTTCGAAAAAGATTTTATAGCAAATATTAAAAAAAATTTTAACAAACATATTGCTTTAATAGTAACGAGGAGGCTATGTTCTGACTTGCGAACAAAACTTCAGCAAATTAGCAGAAATGTTCGCTATTGGCAAACGTAATAAAAATGAGGATAGTTTCATTTTTTACAAGCATTATTAAATAGGTATACATTATTATCATCAAATTTAGCAAATATTGGTTCATCATTTTGTCGGTCATCATTAACACAGATCCACAACACATTTAAAATGTAATGGTACAATATCAAGTAAAACTCAATATGATTTTAAAAAATAACGAGAGTGTGGGTGTGAGTGCATATGTGTGTTGGCGTGTGGGTATTGGTGTTCATTCTCTTTTGACTCATATTCACACCCACACTCTTTTTCTGACGAAAAATGACTGTTTTTGAGAGGTCCTTAATATACATTATTTTATGATAAATTAAATATAAAAAAATTTATCAGTTTTAACATTTTTTTCATTTATCAATTTATCCATGTTATTCATTTTTCTTTGTTATATATAATGATCATATACATGTATTTATTCTTCTCAGAGAACAATAAAACTGAGTATTTCAAAGATTATATCATATAAGATCGAAACTATTAATGTTTTCATCATAAAGGGTGTGGGTGTTCCTGTGGGTACCTTAATTCATTACACGATGCGCATACCCACACCCACATCTGCCAAACGTTTATATCTCAATAAATCCAGTTGTTCTTTCTACCTAGAATTGTACACATTAGGTGCTATATGTATCACTAGAAAAATCTCCCAAAAATCATTTAGATATAGAATAATATCATTTTTTTTCTATATCAAATCTTACACTTTCTGTTTGTAAATATTGTCCTTCGTATATATCTAATTTCACTAATATTCAAATAATACGAAATCATCAGGTTAATAGAAGAAATTTTCTGATATATACATATAGAGTATTGATAAATCTTTCAGTATTCACTCTTATAGTGATACAGCGAAGTCGAATTTATATTATTAACGTTTTTGATACTCACAAGCGTTGCTTCTAATACTAAATCTGTCACATTTAGTCAAGATGATGAAAAATCGTGACTGAAAATATTTTCCTTTTCGTTTATGCTGTTATCTGTACCATTTATCCAATACAGAAAAAAATGATATTATTCTATATCTAAATGATTTTTGGGATATTTTTCTAGTGATACATATAGCTCCTAATGTGTACAATGCTAGGTAGAAAGAACAACTAGATTTATTGAGATATAAACGTTTGACGAGACATGTGGTGACGAGAATATTATATCGTCGTATTTCGTGTTTACTATAAGCTATAATACTAAAACTTTTGTGAAACATTCCTGAATCTATGAGTATGTTGAAAACAAATTTTCAAGTGAATCGGTCAATGTAAAGGTGATATTTTAGTATGACGAAGTGAAAATCATCATAGTTGTGATTCGGTCGATATCCATTAACAGGCTGATATCTCAGCAACCCAAAAGATTTTCCTGATGAAAATTTTATTTGAGAAAGCTGAAGATTCAAGCTTTTGAATGGTAGATTTTCCAACTTTCAAAGTGGTTGTATGACTGAGATATAACCAATGCAAGATAACGATAGTGTTTGGTGTATAACTCTGTTCTATTACATTGAATTGATGTCGGATTAGTGTCTATGATCAGCGTTTATCAGTACTCACATGCAGCCAAAATCTCAAGCCAAAAGCTTGAAATATTGATAAAGTTCAGGGGGTGAGGGACTTTTGGCCAGGACTATAAATATATTGTTGTTTAGGTACTTTTTAAAGAAACAAAGAAAAAATAACATAAAGCCTTGTTTTTTCCATAATATGCAATTTTATATTACTACTCATTGTTGTAAACTCGGACCAGAATTTTTTTTTCGATGTTCGTATTGATCTATCAAGTACAGGTTCTATAAAAATAAATTAATTAATTAAAGTCAGAGAAAAAGACCAGATTAGTTACCTTGACTAGACATAACATGATTTGGATCTTCATTGCCATTTCGACCAACTGCATCTTTACCTTGAGGTTTAACAACTTGAATAAGTACAGTTCAACCCTGAAGATTTTTTTCCCAAACACAACCTTTTCCGTAGCCCATCTAAATATATCGATATTGATTTATTTGTAAAAAACAAACAAGTTCTGTTATTTCTATAAGATAGAATCTTGAACAAAAAACACGACCGCTTCTTCTCTAATAGAATCTCGAGTAAAATAATCATTGATAAAAACATACTTTCATTAATAGTTTTAAACTAATACCTTTAGTGTACTTTTCAAATGCACCGAAATCATCATCACTTATATGAACATTTCTTTTTCTTATTTTTTCAATAAATTGCATATCATCATTATATTCGACGTCACTGGAATTCATGTTCATAAAACCTGCTTTCATTATTGTTGCTGTTCTGGATGCTATACTTGTTCACAATGCACATACTCGATCAATGATCAGTTAAAGAAAATAAAAAATAATTAATTAGTGGTCATAATCACTCTATCATACAGACGTTTTAGAGGTAGCTCGGAAATCTTATGATCAATTTTTTGACTATTTTCGACTGTTTAGTCGTCCGTTTGGATCAAACGTGATATTTTTCGGACTACTCAACGGAAAACAAGATGCAAGAGAAGAAGTCGAAAATGACCAAAGAATGATCATCTGATTTTCGAGCAACCTTTATATACATGTGCGTATATATATATGTCATTTTCTTCTCGAGTGCTTTTAATATAGTATTTCAAGTTTCTTCAGATTTTATAATGTTATAAATATAATTCGTATAAAGATTCTTTCTAATGCTTTATGAATGTGACGAATGAAAGACTTTGAGCACAAAAAAACTTTAACTTCTTTAGATCGGTGAAAACTTCGTTCATAACTAAGCAAATTGTTGATTCATAACATCGATTGGTGATTGAATTTTTTTTGTTGATGATATAAAGTACAACCTACTTAAATATAATCGAAAACATACAAAAGCATTAAGAAATCTTTAAAGTTGTTATTTTAATTATAATAATATATGAATATATGAACAACGAAAATAATTCATTCAATCTAAATCATAAAACCTGAAATTCCTGGTTGATTTTCCTGTCATTCCATATATCTTAAAATTAACTAATTAGCTAAAAGCTTCCATTTGAGTGTAATTATTGTACTATCATGCAACGACATATAACATGGAATACAAAAGTAATTGCACAAATGTCGGCCTATATTTCTTTTTAAAGAAAGAATGTTAACAGAAAAGATTTTGTATTAAAATTTTACCAATATTTTTCTAATTTTTACTGATTTATCATATAGATCATGTAATCAACTGAAATATGATTTTAACTTTTTTTCCCAGCAAAATTGAACAATTTTCTTCGTTTGTTTCTTTTACTAGTCATCATAACAAGGATCGATTCTTTCAATATCTTAGTGACTTCAGAACACTCCAGTGCTACAGCACTATTGCGAATTCATGTAAACTATTTTTCATCATCTAAAATAACATTAAACTCACGAGAGATGGTTTTATAAGTCTGTTCATGGTTTTTTTTTCTAGCCTTGTTTTTTTCTTAAGCTTTATTATGTATGAACGTATGATGAACAGATGTTATATACGATCTGATAGAAAAAAACCCTCTATCTACTGATACAATAAAAGTTTTATTTTAGCATCGTTCTATCGAAGACGAATATTGGCCAATATTTGTGCTATTACTTTTGCATTATAAATTACTTAAAGGTTTTGTGTTTCGGTGTAATTTTTCATACGAGCTCTGAACAATTTCATATTGTATTGAAGGATCTGAAAATATCAAAAGGACTTATTTATGTTTTTTGTTTTTCTCAGCTGGTTTATACATCAGTTAATAATTTTAAATGAATTGAAAACAATGTTAGCACATTTACATTATAAATTTATTTGTGTATTGCATCATTATATTTCATTTTCTTTCGCATGTGTTATTGAACAGTACTCGAATGTCATGCTCACTTTTAGTATTCCTACATTTATAATCCTTTGATAATGTTTATGGTTTCGAAATAGATGAACTTAGTCGATAGCCTTGACTAATCAGAAGCGTAAATAGAAATAACAAATGTTTCGAGTGTTGTTGTTTTTCAGTACGCATATATTATCTGATCATGGCCCAATCATACATAAAAATAAGGGATTGAAACAAAAAATAAAAACAAGTAATGCGAATAATGATGCACTTATCTCACAGACAGATCAAGGATTTTAGTTGATTAAATGAGTTGAAATATCCACTATATAATGTACATAATATTAGTGAATGATATGCTAATGAATAGATTGTTTTTCATATAAGTTAGATCGTTTTATGCAGTAAAGTAAGTCATTATTTAAAGTAATCATACTGCATGTAAGCGAGTTCCTTATCTCTGAGAGTAGAAAAAAATGTATACGACTTTGAATTATGTTGAAGGGCAAAAAAAAAGAAGAATATATGTCATCGACGATAATAGTCGTCAAAACATACTAATAAATATATAATAAGTCAATCTGTTCTCATTTGTTTGAATAAAATAGAGGATTATACAACATACATAGTAAGTATATTATAAGCTTACTAGATAAACATATTTTCCTTAGTATTATAAAACTCTTGAACTAGTTCATTTTTGCGTTAAAAATATTTTTAATTTCCGTACGATATCAAAAAGGTCATTCAAAATGAACTCATTTTCCCGTTTATCTATTAATTAGCGATTATGGTGATATATCGCAATGTGTATCACCACTTATCATTGATTTTCATTCATTAAAGAAAAAAATAACTTCTATTACGATTATTGACGCACTTGATGTACAACCTAATTTTGAAACAAGCACTTATTTATATGACAGATTATATTTTCAATACATATTCAACATTTATTTTAGAAGATAATCATATTGATTTTGAACCAGTATGAAAAGGGAAAAACCTGTTCTAGATTATCTTATTTAATAGATATTAAAACAATCCATATATCTGAACGAAATACGCAAATAATTTATATATCAAAATATGTCAATGAAGTTGTTAATATATGGTTAATTAAAGATTTTACTAAAGAAGTATTTCCATTATCTAAAATGACATGGAAAATACTTAAAAGATATGTACTTGAAGAAATATTATTCTATGATGAAAACAAATGACCTTGTAATTTAGTATGTTATGCACGCAAATGAATAAATACTTGAATGAATATGTTTTGTTCATTTTTTGTAGCTTTTCTAAAAAGAAAAACAATTTCGTGATTCATTGATTTCTATTGTTAACAGTTCATTATGCATAATTATCAAATTCAACCTAAAACTCGTCTATTAAATGATGATATTATTGATGGTGCTGATGAAATTGGTATTATTCTTCTTCGTAGTCCATATCTACGTGCTTGGTGAACTAATAATATACTTCAGACTGATGAAGCGAGATGATTAGTACAAGGATAGAATGCAACAACATTACAAGTAGTTATTACTGCTGTTGTATTAGTTAATTATTGTATAAATCATCCAAATGACATTTTCTTATCTACCAGATGATGTTGATTTTGATGAAATACTTGATATTTCAAAAGCAACCGATTGGTCATCAGTAGATAATAAAATTAACAGTGTGAAGGCAGCACTGCTTCGAAGATCATGCCCATCTTCTCCGGAGGTTGAAGGATACTCCTTCCTTTTTGAGATTTTTGAAGAACAGCTCATCAGAAAACTTTGAAATCTCTAGGGCAGGTAAATCTTGGCGAATCGAGCAAAACTTGTCATGGACTCATAGTTCCTGAATGCTGTATTCTATCAGATACTGAGATATCAATGGCGCTAACTTTCGTCCGAGAACTTATGTTTGATCAAGCTGAAAATTTTTTACTGACATTAGATACTGTTTGGGGTGAGTATCTATTTGTTTTTTGTTCTTCAAATAAAAAAGATCAAATTACGACAGCATTCTAAAAAAAACTCATGTTTTTTTGAAAAAAATAACCTTGCATATATAGAATAAACGTAAATTACAAATTTATCCAGTTAGATATTAAATTTACCGACTCACAGTAACTATTAGATGTTTACAATGAGTCTCATGCTCGTAGTCTTGACATACCCATAGCAGACTATAAATCTCTTCAAGTTGTCTGTTTGTCTGTCAACCGTTTTTATCGATCTGACATATTTGTTGTAGCCTATTTAGTTTTTACTTTGACATATTAGTTTCAGCGGTAGCAGCAGCTTCTTTTTTAGGAAGATTATAAAATTTCATAATTTGGCATCTCATTTTAGTCTTAATAAGTTCTACAGTCGGAGTCTTGGAACCTATTGTATCAGCGGCAGATTTACAGCCGTAGTGCATATCTATACGACAATAAAAATATGAATAAAAAAAAGAACAACAAAACAAAAATGAGTGAACAATTCCTGTAAACTAATAACAAGAAGAATTCATAAGAAAATACGAACAGATATTTAGCGAAAAGAATAATTGTGTTTAGTCAAAATGATAAAGGAAATAATCGTATCTAATTTGTCAGTTGAAAAGGTACTCGACTATATAGTTGGATAATTGCATTTCCTGTTGAAAACGACGAAGGTTTTTATATTATTGAAAGTTTAGAAAGAAAAAAAAATCTAACAAACAGACAACTTGTGTTGATGTTAAGCGATCTGTTTGTACTATATTGTGATGCACTCTTAAAATTCCAGGCTTATCCATTTCTCCGAATTAAGCAGCCATGACGGCTAGTTTCAACCTTTGCTAAATTTTATCTTTCAGAACAGTGATACGATAAGACGAAAGCGAACGTCATATATTTACACTATGGATTCAATTTCATAAACGGTTCCTAAATTGAAAGCATAATTTCTGCTTGATATATCTAACAATAGAAGATCGTAGACTTTTAGTGAAGAATATTACACATAGTGTGGTCAAATTAAAGCTCTCACTACCAAACTAACAAATTTAAAATAAGAGCTGCACGTGCCGTATACGAAGCGCAGGGTATTTGATTTTTTAACATATCTATAGTCTAGGTAAGATGTTCACAATTCAAAATTTTAACAATATCTATTTTTCTTTTGTCGTAATGATTGGATAGAGTTCGTTGAGTTGCACCAGAAAAGTGTGTTACCTTTTATAGTTTGATTGCACTATGTTGGAGATTTCTTTCTCTTTTCTATCTGATCTACTATCATACATATGAGGCGTACGATATACATATATTTCGTGTTGCTTGTTTCGTTTCTCTCATTAAGGTATACTCCAAACATTCTCTTCTCGTCATTGTTGCTCAGGTATGTTTCCCTCTTGTTCATGTTTTTTTTCAAGTGTCTTTTGCTTTTCCCAGCTTACTCACATATACGTAGTGAGTGTTTGGAAAATAAG